AGTGGGAAGAAAACTGATTGAATTATTTATACTCCAATGCAGGGACACATCATGTAAATAACTACATAAGTCTATTTCAAGGCTCAGGTGAAAAACAAAAAAGAGAAGAACAGTTTACTTTTTAAAAATCTGTAATCTGTTCAGCAGGGAGAATATAATGTTTTAATAAAAAGAAAGAAATAATGTAATCCAAGAAGCCTAAAACTACCACATCTGTTTGATTTTGCAGGTGTTCATTTATCCAAAAAAGAAAAAAAAAGAGCTTCTCTCAATGGCACAGATTATTGTTTTTGAACTGTCATCCATCAGCCTGGGTTGTTAACTATCTAGCCATCTATATCTCTCTGTTAAGTAAGAAGAATTATAGATAATTACCGATTCTTTAAATCCTCTGGTCTATTAAAAGCATTTTTCATCTGAAATTATTTCAGTGAATCCATCTTGTTAATTAGTTAATGTGAACATTTCAGAGGAAATCCTTTTCAGCTCACTTGTCTTCTTGCTTTTTTTTGTATTGTGCTGGCTAACATGTTTGTGGTTTGCTCAAGAAGGAGCTAACTTTTCCAAAATGTTAGTTACTTTAGCCCACTTCACATGGCAGCTAACATGTGGCTAAACCTCATGGCTAAGCCAGCAACATCTGTGTGCTCAGCAGGCTCTTACCCCTGACTTCCACAAATTTGGCAATGGTCTATAAGGGGCACTGGCAGTATCACAGCCTTGATTTCCTAGTGGATTTTATAGAGGTCAGATTGGCTCCTTCTTCAACCATTTGGGAAACAGGTGTAAGCAATAGTGATAGTGATAGTGATAGAGCTAGAGCAGGTTCTGTGGGCATAGCCAGCAGGCACTCAGCATTTAGTATTTAGCATTTACATTTCTATACCACTTATCAGTGAACTCAGCACTCTCGAAGCAGTTTACAATATGTAAGCCGATTGCCCCCAACAAGCTGGGTACTCATTTTACCGACCTACAAAAGGATAGAAGACTGAGTCAACCTTGGAGCCCTGCCTGGTATCGAACTCACAACCTTGTGGCTGCAGTACTGGCATTTAACTACTGCTCCACCAGGGCTCCTAATGTCCTAGAATTCATAGTCTGACTCCACCATCCAAACCTTGCCCTTGCCATGGAGAGGTATCTTGGTCTAGTGCCTAGGAACAATCTGAACTTTTAGCCCAGATCAGAGGTGAGGAAGATTATTATATTTTTTTTGGATTACAATTCTCTGAGTTGGAGCAGTAATATTAAAAAATAATAACTTCTAAGTTCCTTTTCTCAACCCCAGGTGACCGCTAACATGTAAACCACTTACAGGCTGATTCTACAGAGTTGATTTACAAATAATTCAAAGTCACATTTTAGTCCCAGTGTGTATTTTGTCTTTGAACTAATAAATGCAGCTGATGTGCACAAAACCTAGGTACAAGCCTTTCATAATACAGGCATAATTCTTAAAAAATGCAGCTTTCAAAAATTTGAATGATTGGGTGGATGTATTGTAAATGGGTGCAACATTAAAGCTGTCACATACTGCTCTCTATTTGCCATTTTTGGGCAGAGAGGAAAGTATCATGCAGAATGTGCTCACAAAGATGGAACCTTTTTCACACTAGGAAACAGTCGCAACCTTAATTCAAATAGCATAAAGGACTGAGAGTGTGTGACTCATTCAAGGTCACCCTGTGGGTTTCCATGGCCAAACAGGGAATCGAATCCTGGTCTCCAGAGTCATAGTCCAATACTCCAGCCCACTACACCATGCTGGCTCTAGCTCAATATTACTTACTGAAAAGAGTGGCCTTTTCTAGGATGGCCTTTGCCTACTTTACAGAGGATAGAAAACTCTGAACAATTGTCTGATCCAAAGAGAGCTTAAATATCCTCAAGTCGCTAGATCTGATTTTTGAAGCTAAGCAGGGTCAAGCCTAATTAGTAGTTGGAAAGGAGACCATCAAGGAATACCAAGTGCTGTAGGCTATATTTCAGAGGAAACCATGCCAAACAACCATAGCTTTCACCTAAGAAAACTTAATGAAATCAATGGGTTGCCATAAGTTAACACTTGAAGGTAGAGAGAGAGAGAAAATGTAGTATTTATTTTTTTAAAAAAACCTGACACTGTTTGATAGATATATGGCAAAATATAATTCTGGTCCCTGAACCACTGTTTCAAATATACTAAAGGGCTCTCAAAAGAGTAGTAACTGGCATTTCTGATGTACATGTTCATGGGATTGTTTAGAATTGGGACAAACCTGCAGTTCATTCTCTTTCCCCTTTCTCCAACTTTCTTTCAGGTATATTATCAAATATTAGAGAAGGAGAACCTGTGCATCCAGAGGCTGGGCTCAATCCCAAAAAACTCCCTAAGGAAAAAGGTATTTTCCCCCTCTTATTTTTGTCATGCCCAAAAGACTGCAGACTGGATTCCCTTCTACCTGTACATGTTTCAGAACTGCCCGATCTGCTGTACAACGTTTTGAGTCTATAGAGAAATGATCGCAATAGCATGCCATTTATCTGTATTGAACCATGGTGATATTTTAATTTGTTGAAGATCCTCCTTGAACATAGCCATCTGTCTCAGGAGGGGAAAGTGACCTTTTTCAGTATAGTATGATTGTCCCATTGTCAGAATAGAAATAAGATTCAACTATTGGGCCAGTTTCTGTACATAGACTGGGTGGGGTACCATCATGTCCTCTCTCCCAAGCAGCAAAATATTTTAGGCTGGCTCTAGTTAAAAGGTAGTATATTACCTGAAAGTATTTACTATTTTTCTATTGCCTGTACCCTCCCATAATACTAGTCTGTTCTAATTTTACAAACCTTGTGAAATTGAAGGCTTTCATGGCTGGCATCATAGGTTTTTGTGGGTTTTTTGGGCTGCGAGGCTGTGTTCAGAGAAAGATGCCAGCCACAGATACAGGAGAAACATCAGGAATACATTCTTCTAGAATATGGCCTCACAGTGTGAAAAACCCACAAAAACCTATTTTCAAACCTTGTCAGCTTGTCTTTACCTACAACTACTAGGTTGCTTATACTATTATATTAGTAGTAGTTGTTGTAATAGTCTTACCATTCCTGTAAAGTCTTCAAAGTTATTATTAAGCTTCTATGCAGTTAACACAAAAGTATCTACATTAATTAAGTATAACAAGTCAGCAGTTTGCACAAACATGGTAAACATATGTTTCCACATCTGGTTTGAGTAATATCATCATGATTTTTTAAATGATTTATAGCTCTGCAGGCCATAAACTGCCAGCTTTGCTATAACTTGGAGTTTTTCAGACATTGAACAAATTACAAAAAGCATGTACGGGGCTGCAAAATAGTCCAGAAGGGAAAATATTTGTCTATACCTTAATGTAACTTAAAACATGTGTAAGAATTAGTAAGGTGACAATAATACCTGTGGAAAGTCCAGTTCAGTAGTCAAGTATTGCTAGTCAGAATCCTGGAGTCCAGAAATATTACAGTCCAGAAGCCATAACATGGAGGTGGGATGTGAGGTTCTCCAGATGTTGAACTGCAACTCCCATTGGCCTTCATCTCAAGTTGCAGCCACCATCCTCCATGGAGCAAGGAACAGAGTCTTTGAAAATTGATTTGTTACCCCAAATTCATTTAAATAGAAATCTTTAACAACAGCGTTTAAAGTTCTTGTTCAAATAATTAAACAGCAGCTACATTAGCACATTGCGTGATTATTAATGTTTCACGTTATTTTAACTCATTACTTTTGGTAAAGCATTTTGGTGGTCGAGGGGCCCTTTTAGACATTTTTAGTAACTGTAGTAACCTTTGTAAAAAAAAATCAAAATATTGATAACATACTATGAATAACCAATACAACAAATTAATTTGTTAATTTTTAAAGGAATGATTCATCTCAATGAAATGATCTTTCAAATGTATATAAATGAGCTAGCCTTCCTGCAACTATTGCTAAGCTCTGCCTCAGCAATATAGGAAACAAGAGATACTAACAGTGTGATTTGAGCTGCATTTACACTGCAGAATTAATACCATTTGACATCGCTTTCATTGCCATGGCTCAGTGCTATGGAATTCTGGGGTATGTAGTTTATTTTTTTTAAATTTTATTTATATTAATCAACTTTCCATATATTTTTATATACTTTTA